CCATCCAGGCGGGGCATGGGGGAGAACCAAGTTTCCCACGGGAGCTGGGCCGGGGCCGATGGGCTCTGCAGAAAGGGGCTGGGGGAGCTGATGCTCAGGACAATGGGTTCCCAGCTCGCTGGAAAGGCACCACAATCATGTGAACTTAGAGACCCTCCGCAGTCCTGCATACCCAGCGCTGGGCCCCCCGGAGACCATGCGACGCCCCAGGGCCCTTCTCCCCCCACCTGATGTAGCCCTCGATGCTGCTTTGGCCCTGGAGCTGGTCCGCCAGGAGGTAGGTGTTGTGCGAGGAGGAGATGAAGTAGTGGCAGAGGGGCTGAGTCATGTCCTGGCAAAGCGACTCGTGAGCAGGGTCGAAGATGTCGCCGTCTGGCGAGAGCAGGTAGAGGAGGAAGCCGTCGATGGTCAGCATGTGGCGCACCTTGGCTGGGGACGAAGGAGGCGTCAAGGAACCGGGAAGCTCAGTCCGGCCACCCCGCCTGCCCAGGGACCCGTCTCCAGCAGGGCCGTGAGCCCAGGCAAAGAGAGTGCTCCTAGCTGCTTGGAGGCAAGCGTGGGGCCAGCCTTCCCCAAAGGGGAGAGGAGAGATCCTGGTGATGACTAGAGCTCACGAAACACCAGGCTGAGAGGCAGAGAGAAAAACTCCCTAAGCTGTCCCGTGGGTCAGGGGAACGGGCAACGGGCAACTGGAATAAACCCAGCTGGAATCCCAGCCCCTGGCAGCAGGTCGGCCCGACAGCGCCACATGCAAACCCGTCCTCGCCGCCCATTCACATTCCCTGCCTTTGGCTCTGCCCTGGAGCCTGGGCCAGCTGCCGTCAGGAGGCTCCGCTGGTGCCCAGGGGTCTAATTTCCTAGCAGCACCGGTTTGGAGCAGCGTTTCCTGGGCAGCAAGAGACAATCGGGGGGAGCCTGAGATGCAGTTTTATTACAATCTAATACCAAGACAATCCCCCACTCCCCATGTGCCCGGACCCTGCAGGGTCTCCGTCCGCCCCCAGAGACACCCGCAGAACAGGCACACTGATGGCCATACACTTCCCACTCTGACAGCAGCTGCAAGGGGATCACGAAAAGGCTGGCACTGCGAAGAAGGGGGTGCCGCTCTGGAAGGGGTGAGCCCCACTGCGCCCAGGCCCGGAGAGCAATTCAGCCGGAGGGTTCCCGGGGAGGCCGACAGCCCGTTTCTGCCCATGAAACAGACCAGGCCCTGTAGGCACTGGCCCCTGCCCTCTCTCTGACTCTCACCGGTCTCGGATGGCTCATATCTGTCTATCAGCTGCATGGCCAGCTCCTTGGCGTTCTCCGTCTCCTGCTGCTCCTGCTGCAGGAAATCCGCAAACTCCAGCAGGGTCAACTTCTTCCCCGCCTCCGAGAACTCCTGGAAGATGCGCAGCACCTCGCCTCGCTGCGTCAGCGCCGTGTAGAACAGCACGAACTCCTCGTCCTCCAGCGTCTCCGACTATATCTGTCTATCAGCTGCATGGCCAGCTCCTTGGCGTTCTCCGTCTCCTGCTGCTCCTGCTGCAGGAAATCCGCAAACTCCAGCAGGGTCAACTTCTTCCCCGCCTCCGAGAACTCCTGGAAGATGCGCAGCACCTCGCCTCGCTGCGTCAGCGCCGTGTAGAACAGCACGAACTCCTCGTCCTCCAGCGTCTCCGACTCCGACCGGTCGGCCTCCTGCAGCGAGAGCAGGGCCCGGGCAGGCCGCAGGACTGACCCTGCAAGCCCCTGGCACTGACCAGCCCCCGGCACTAACCACCCCCCCCCCACCGACCATCCTGTCAGTCGGGCGTGAGGCCCCTACCAAAATCGTCTCTGCCAGCCAGTGAGATCTGGCCTCCACTCACCACCCTTCACTATGCCATGATGGGCGTTATAGGCAGCCAGGCAGTACAACATGGCAGCAGGGGCGGGTGCAGGATGCTGGATGGATGGTGGGTACAGATGGATGGCTGGATGCTGGACAGACGCATGTTGGGTATGGATGGACCGGTGCAGGACAGATGGATGGATGGATGGATGTATAATGGGTACAGATGGATGGACAGGCAGATGGGTGGACAGGTGCAGGACAGACAGATGGATGGTGGCTATACATGGACGAATGTATTATAGGTACAGTTGGATGAATGGATGGACGGATGGGTACAGATGGTGGGGGTGGGTGGATGGATGAATAAAGGGTACAGATGGGTGGATGGAGAGATGGGCAGGCGGCTGGATGCTGAGAACTGATGAATGGGTGGACGGGCAGATGGGTGGATGATGAGTCTGGGGGGACGGATAGGGAATAGACAGGGTTGGGAAAATGTCCTTTCCTCTATTTTTCTAAACCTCAACTTGGGCTCCCAAACTCATAGGCTGTGTCCCCCTTAAACGTCCCTGGGGCTGCGTCTAGACTGCACCCCCGTGTCGGCAGAGGGACGCAGAGCAGGCCTGTCGACATTGCTAATGAAGCGGGGATTGAAATACCCCGCGCGTCCTTAGCATAAACACGGCCGCCGCATTTTTTCAGATCGGAGCTTTTTCGGAAAAAAGCAGCAGTCTAGCCACGGAGCTTTCGAAAAATAAACCCTTTTCCGAAAGACCCTTTAAACCTCATGTTTTGAGGCATCCAGGATCTTTCGGAAAAGGGTTTATTTTTCGAAAGATCCACGGCTAGACTGACGCTTTTTTTTTTTTTCTTCCGAAAAAGCTCCGTTTCTCAAAAAAAGCGGCGGCCGTGTTTATGCTAAGGATGCGCGGGGTATTTCAATCCCCGCTTCATTAGCAATGTCGATGGGCCTGCTCTGCGTCCCTCTGCCGACACGGGGGTGCAGTCTAGACGCAGCCAAGGGGGAGGCTGCTAGCTCCCAGGAAGCAGGCAGAGGGGCCAATGGCATGCCCAGTCTGCATCCGACTCTTAGCCACTAGGCTGGGTCCGAGAGCAGCAGGGCTTGGAGAGAGGGGAGTGTACGTGCTAGACACTCGCACGAGTGATTCTCCTGGACTTGAGAGACACGCCAGGGCTCAGGGAATCTCTGGAGCCGATTTCAATCCAGAGGCTCTTGAGTGCACCTCAGCAGCTGGCCCCTGTGGGCTCCAGCAGAGAAACAAAGCCAGCCCTTCCCCCAGCCCCTTGTTGCCCTCTGCCCCTGTCTTTGGGGGCAAGGCAGGCGGTGGTGCCCTTCCTGCCCCAGCTCTGCCCTCCAGGCCCGGCGCTCACCTGGAAGATCCGGCGCGCGTGGTCCTCATTCATGTCCATGTTCATCAGCCTGAGGAGCTGCCGTGCCTCCGGGAAGCTCATGCGCCCGTCCCTGTTCTCCTTCCCCCAGCCCCTTGTTGCCCTCTGCCCCTGTCTTTGGGGGCAAGGCAGGCGGTGGTGCCCTTCCTGCCCCAGCTCTGCCCTCCAGGCCCGGCGCTCACCTGGAAGATCCGGCGCGCGTGGTCCTCATTCATGTCCATGTTCATCAGCCTGAGGAGCTGCCGTGCCTCCGGGAAGCTCATGCGCCCGTCCCTGTTCTTATCGGCCTTCTGGAACCAGTCCCGGATCCACCTGCTGAGGGCTAAGGAAAGCGACCGGGGGGGGCACCCTGCACTGAGGGGGGAAGGGAACAGGCAGGCGGGGGCTGTCCATAGCTAGTGGTGGTAGCCCCCCCGCCACTGACCTGCCCACGCACAGCCAGGCCGGGTGCAGAGCCACACACCCATCGGGGCCCAGTGCCCCCCGTACGTGAGCCCTGCCCTAGGGGCCCTTCCCCACTGGCGGGGAAAGAGACACCCCGGGGACACTGAGGCAGCCAGCGCCTCCCCCCAAGGCAGCTGGGTCCCCTGGCCCGCGAGGGCAGGGGGCAGGGCGTGGCCAGGCCGGCAGAAGGATATTGATCCGTTTTCTCCTGCTGGTCCATGCTGGTGACGAAGTCGAGCAGGCGCCGGAGGCCCCGGACCCAGCACTGCGCCTCCTGCGGGGAGCCGGCGACCAGGTCCAGGTGCCCGCGGCGCCCGTGGAAGACGACAGTGAAGCAGCACTCGGGCGGGAACTCCTCTGCCAGGCCCTGCAGCACCTCCGACTGGTGCCCCTCCCGCACCGCCTCCACCTCGCTCAGAGAGACTGGAGGGGAGGGGCGAGTCAGGCGCCCACGGGGGCGGGGCCTGTGCCAGATGCCCCCCCATCCCTCCGTCCGTCTGGCTCTGGGCTCTGTCCCGGGGTATCTAAGCTCTGGGAGGCCTTATGCGATGGGGAGGCCGTCTGGAGACCCGTTCAGCGCCCTCGGGCCCGGGCTGGAGAAGGGAGGGTCTGACAGTCTGGGGCACACGCCCTGGGGGCACGTTTGCTGTGTGACCAGACTCGCCCTTTCGCTCTGTAGTCCCAGATTTGCCTGCAAGCCCTTGGGCGGGGAGCGCGCCGTTAGCAGCAGGCTGCTGCGTGGCCCGGCTCGTCAGGCGGCGGGTTGATCATTTCGGTGAGCGTCCGACCGGAGGGACCACACGCTGCAGGGACCCGGGCTCTCAGTGACTCCTCCATACCAGGACTTTGCTGCGGGCGGGCTCGCTCCCAACGGGCAAGGGGCACCCCAAGCAGCACACAACGAAGCAGGGGAAATCTCAAGGCTCCAGCCAGAGGGGACATGGGCGATACCTTCCTGCACGGACATGTATGCGCACACACCTGCACAGACACATACACACGTGTGCATCCAACCACACAATCACACGCGTACTCATGGTCATGTTTGTACGCTTAACACGCACACACCTTGGTGTGCATACACTGATGGGGTTTGGGGTGCAGCCACACCGTTCACTCTGAACCCTACTGAGGGCTGGCTCCCAGCCGCGGCTGTACTCACAGGTATACTTGGCCTCACAAGTGCAAGAAGACTGGTGCCAGACAGTCATGCAGTCGTCCTGCAGCTTGAAGTACCGCGGCTTCTTCCAGCTCTTGGACTCCCCTGCTGCATCTGCCTCAGGGTCTCGTCCAGCTGGAGGCCTGCGAGGGGCCAGGGGAGCGGGGCTCAGGCTGCGCTGCTGGGAGTGGCCTGCCATGGGAGCGCATGGCTACCACCCCCTGAGCCAGCGACGTGGGGTGTCCTAAGGCTCCCTTGGGCCATTGCTTTCCTCTGCAGGGGCCAGAGCAGCCTGCACCGGCCTGTCCTAAAGAGGCTGCTCCTTGCGGGGCCTCAGCTGGGGACAGGGACGTGTGGGGCAGCCCCAGCCCCGCCTCCTCCTGCTGGGCTGTGGGGCGTCTTCTCTGGAGCCCGCTGACCCCCGCGGGAACGTCTGTCCCCTGGGAAACTCCAGCCTGGAGACAGAGTCCCAAATATCCCAACTTCCCACGTGCCGGAACGTCCCCAGGAGCCGTCCGGGGTCGACCTGCGTCTGCTGGGCTGCGTGAGGCGCCGCTTTGCCTCCTGGGCGTTCTCTGCTCCAGCCCCGTTCCGGCTTGCTGGTCCTCCAGGGATCAGGACGAGGCAGGGCCACCCGACGGGCTCCTACTCCAGCCTGGAGACAGAGTCCCAAATATCCCAACTTCCCACGTGCCGGAACGTCCCCAGGAGCCGTCCGGGGTCGACCTGCGTCTGCTGGGCTGCGTGAGGCGCCGCTTTGCCTCCTGGGCGTTCTCTGCTCCAGCCCCGTTCCGGCTTGCTGGTCCTCCAGGGATCAGGACGAGGCAGGGCCACCCGACGGGCTCCTGGCTGGACTCCCCCCTCCCTGGCCCTTC